TATCATCACTTGACTCAGGTTAACACTTCTTCTGATTTCTTGACTGCATTTATCATGGGTATTGATGAGTCTTCCTCCAATCCTATAGTTTACTACGCAAATGAAGCCGGATTTAATGAAGAGTAATGTGGGGCCAGGATTGGAGGAAAATGCATCAGCAACCTGCATTATGCAGATGACACAACCTTGCTTGCTAAAAGTAAAGTGGACTTGAAACACTTGCTACAGAAGATCAAAGTCTATAGTCTTTAATATAAGTTGTATCTCAACATTAAGAAGACAAAAAATACTCACCACTGGACAAATAAGCAACTTCAAGATATATGGGGAAAATATTGAATTTGTCAACAGTTTCATCTTATTTGGATCTATAATCAATACCCTTGGTATTCGCAGTCAGAAGATCAGGATTGCACTGGGGCAGTATGCTGCCAGGGACCTCTCCAAATTACTGAAGAGAAATGTCAGTGTGAATACTAAGGTGCACCTGATTCAGACCATGGCCTTTTCAATAACTTTCTATGCGTCTGAGAGCTGGACAATGCATACAGATGACAGAAGAATTGATGTCTTTGTTCTAGAAAAGAGGACTGACTATCCCTGGACTGCCAAACAGTTCAAGCTACCAAACAAAAGAACAAACAGATATGTCTTGGGAAAAGTGCAGCCAGAGTACTCCTTGGATGCAAGAATGATGAAGGTTTGCCTTTTATACTTTGGAAATGTTGCAAACAGAGGCTATTCCTTGGAAAGGGACATCATGTTTGGAAAGATGGAGGGTCAGCGAAGCAGGAGACCCTCAAGGAGATGGGTGGACACAGTGACTATTAATGGGCTGTATTTGGTCAGAGATGTTGTGGATGCCAAAGGACAGGGCAGGGGTCAGGTTCATAGGGTTTGCTATGAGCTGTACTTTACCCAACAGCACCTGACAATAATAATAACAGAAGATAGGATTGTGTCCACATCTCTCTTCCTGCAGAAGTATGGATTAAAGTGCTGTCAGCTTTTAAAACTCATTCACTTCTCTTGTCCTCTATGATCTTGTAAGTATGTGTGCTATCACACTGACATGATGTCAAAGCAGCTGCAAGGGGACAGGTGGCTGCCCTTGACCAAAGGACAAATCAGCTTTCTAATTTCCACTATATTTTTCTTTGACTCCCAAGGCTATGGTACATGCAGAATAACAAATAACTAGAAAACAAACAAGCAAAAGAACCAAATCAAACTCATCGTCACCATCTTGGAAATGACTCACAGCCGACCTTCCATTAAGTGGCTGAGGCTGTAAACTGCACTGGAGGTGACGGCCCCACTTTCTCGAGTGAACCAACCAGTGAATGTGAACTGCCTGTGAGGCTCTGCCTTGGTAGCTCAATTCCCTACAGACTATGCCACTAGAGCAAAACCCCAAAACAGTAAGGAAAGTTGTCTGAACAGGTTGTGGCAGTTCCCTTTCCTCTCTCTGACACTCAGTGATCTGGCGTCACTGACCAGAAACCAACTGCTGTTTTCCCACTAATGCTAAATAAATATTTCTATGACCTGCTGGGTAAGTGAGCTGTGGTTAGCAACTTGTTAGTTAGTTGTTGTTATGTACCACAGAGTAGAATCAACTCATAGCTGACACTCCAGCAGGTTCTCAGAGACTGTAAATTGCATAGGAGCAGACTGTCCATTTTTCTCCTGCAGAGCAGCTGGTGGATTCAAACTATGTGTCTCAAAGTAGGCAGTTTGAACCCATCAGCTGCTCTTTGGGTCAAAGATGGGCAATCAGACATGAGTTGGTTCCTATGTAATGACACATAGCAACAACATTTCCCAAAAAAAGCAACTGCAAGAGTCTGTAAATTAATCATCAGTCTAGGGCAGATACCTAACAGAGTTCTTTATTTTTCATTTGCTGGGAAAGACAAATTATGACCATGCAGAATTGGAGAAAGTATAATATGAAAGTCTCTCTGATGACATTCCTCAGTGAAGCATTGTTATTTGGGGACTTTCCGAGCTCAAAAACGCCTGGCTGATTATAACAGCATTTTTTTTGAGAGCCCTGGGTCACCTTTTTCTTTTTAAATGAAGTGTTCTGCACAATCCCACCTGGCTCACTCATAGAGCCCCAATCTGTTGCAGAGAAAGGTAATGAAAGTAGTAGCAATTCTGTAAATGATAGGGTTCATTTCCAGCAGTACTTTGCCCTTTCCTCCAAAATATCAGGAAGGCTTTTCTGTGACAAGATGTGGCTCAAATGACCCAGAATTCTCCCCTTTCATTCTTGAGCAGTTAATACTCAATAATCATGACACTCTAACTTTATTTCTTGGGTTTATCTGCTACCTGGAAAAACAATACTGATCAATCCTATAACTAGGTGTGGCCAAGTAAATTCTAACTTATGGTGACCCCAAGTATTTCTATCAGAAATGCCCTCCAAAAGGTTTTCTTGGCTGTGAACATTCAGAAGCAGATCACCAGTCCTTTCTTCTGAGGAACTTCTGAGAAGGGACAAACTGCAACTTTCAGTCAGTAGCCACTGCTTAACCATTTGTTCTACTCAGGAGTGACTCACTCCATGACTGATGGACTGACAGACTGACTCACTGCCGGTAAGTCAGAACTGACTTATAGCTGACCCTCTGGCAGGTTTTCCGAGGCTGTAAATCACACAAGAGGAGACTGTGTATCTTTCTCCCAACGAACAGCTAGTGGATTCGAACCCCAGTTATGACTTAATAAACTACTGGCACATTTGCCTACAGTAGAAGAGTTTATTTCAAAAAAAAAAAAGAAGAGTTTATTTCATTTGGAATCTGTTTCTATTCTCTCAATGTGCTGAATTTCACTCTGAACAGTTGTTTTTTTTTGAAGTTCTGTCTATCAAAGGTTATTAGGTACATAAAAACTCAGTTTTATAGATTTTCTTTTTCAAAGAGAATTTCATTTTACTATTTGGATACAGGTCTATTTACAACAAAGAGAGCCTAAATGCCCCTCCAAACCACTGAAAGCAAACATACACTGTAGCTTGGTTTAGAAGCCTTTCATTATAAATTTAGTAAGGCCATTTATAAACCCTCATAGGCGCCAGGCACTTTCACAGGGCCCTCCCCACAGTGTATCAAAACCTATTAAAATGTATCCTCCTAGCATATGGAATAGTAAGTACAGTGATAGGAAAGTTGAGTTGAATTTCAAGTGACTTGTAACATTTTCTAGACATTGAACCATTTTCCCCCCTAACTGTCCCATTTTCTTTTGACATTTTGGTACCAAATGTTTTTTTGGTTTTTTTTCTGGTTTCAAACACTTTCATGTCATCTTGGAGAGCGTGAGGTGTTTGGAGCCTGATGGTTAAAGCAGGCCTGCCTTACTTGGTTGCACTTTTTACTTAATGCAGTTAACAGCTGAACTCTGGATCCTTGTTCCGTCAGCTCGACTCACAGCCACTCCATGGACACAGACGGCAACCTTGCCCAGTACAGCATCACCCTCACACTCTCTACCACACTAAACGCCCTGGTTACAGTTACTGTATGAACAGTCTCCCAGATGCTCTCCCTCGCCTCTGCTTTGGGTTGGGTCCTTAGTTCTATGAAGACCTCCACAACTAGTCATTTTCAGTAAGTCCACATGTTGTCAGTGGGGGTTCTTTTGGACTCTGCACAGGCCCCTCTGTGAACAGAACTGCCCCACAGGGTTTTCTAGCCTGTACCCTTTATGAAAGCAGATTGCCAGGCTTTTCCTTCTCATAGCCTCTAGGAAAGTCTGAATCACTCACATGTCACCTTTTCCCACCAAGGCTCCTTGTACGTCACTGAGTAGACAAGAGTCTATCTACTTGGGGGTGAAATAATTTAGTTGTGATTGGTTCACTAAAGTTAAGTCAACCTTTTACCTTTAACCACCAGGGCTCTTTTGTGTCAACTAAAAAGCAGCTAGTAGATAGAACCTATCCAATCTACAAAGTAGGATAGCTTGGGAAGAGTTGATCTCCTAGGGATACGAAACTTGTCATGTTTTAACAGTACTTCCCACTCCCCAAGTCCACTGACATTTAGAAAGCCATTCCCCAACCCCCAGTACAAATAAATAAAGATTTAAATCCATGTGAACAATGATACCATTAAATGACAGTCACATTTCGGTGCAGCAAATGATTACATTCTTAATTTTATGGAATACTTAAATCTGGAGTTAGGTTCACAGCTCCGAAGAGAGTTTTATTCTAAGGGCTCGGCAGTATATCCTTGGTTTTGCAAAATTTCTGGCATGATTACTGCAGATTTTACTTGGGTTTGCTGAGTTAATCAAACCAGCGCAATTGCTTTGGCTTAAAAGAACTACCTCTCCACCTCTGAAAGCTTTTTAAACCAATCTGGGGCTTCACGGGGACAGCCACCTAGGCATATGGCACTAGATTCCAGGTGCCCTTCCTCATAACCTCAGAGATCCAACTCATACAGACAGCTAAAAGCTCCTACAGACAGTTAAAAGCTCTGAGTCCCAGCTCCGGCATATTCTGTTGAAGTGCTTCTGTTTTTTGAAGAGAATTCATTCTCTATACACACGACAGTTTTCACTTAAAATCCCTGTTGAAACGCATAAATCTACAATTTGGAGGGCACAATTTCAGACAGTAAGCTGGTCTCTAAATTTCAGGAGTAAATCTTCTGGAAGAGCCTGGGTTTGGAGCAAACACTAGCCTAGCATTTAACTTAGTCCCGCCTCCCTGGAGAAGAGGTCTGAGAGAAAAGAGGTGGAAGGGAGGAATCTCACTCCCTGCCTTGAGTCCTTTCACGTAAACAGGGTCAATCATTCCCTAGGGGCCAGGAAGAAAATCTTACAGAGGTGGGTGCCTGTTAGGGATGGGGGCAGGAAGTGAGTCTACAAGAGAGATGATAAGTGGTTTGCGTTTGCCATTCATTCACTCATTCATTCATTCATCAAATACAAGTTCCAGGCCCTGTGTCATGCAGTTCTTTTAACTGTCCTCAAAGGATGTGTTTCCTTCTTTCCTAGGGACCAAGGCCTTGTGCCCCTACTCCCCCACCCCCATGTCTTCACTGCGTGTCTATGCAACCCCGGGAGCCACTGCCAGCGGGGCCACGACCACCAGGGCCCTGTGCATACGCGGCAACATTGAGCCTCGCGGATCCGGCGGCCAGGACCCCGGGGGAGGAGGGGGCCGGAATCCCGCAGGAGGAGGGGCCCGGGACCCCGCAGGAGGAGCGGTCAGGCTCCGAGCTCGCGGCCGGCCCGCCCCGCCCCTCGGCCCGCCCGGCCAGCGGGCGCCGCCCCGCCTTACCAGGGTTTTGGCTACGTTCCCCCTCTGGGTGATGTTTTTGCTGTGCTTCTCATTAGCCATCCGGATTCGCTGTTTGGCCACCATGACTTTGACGTTTTGAGATGCCTTCGACTCCCACCTGCAAGAATCCCCACGTTAGCCCCTCCGCCGAGGCCGGCGCGTGCCGCCCGCCCGGGCCGCTGCAGGTGGCAAGGCGTGGCCGGAGCCCCGCGCGCCCCGAGCCCGACCCCCGGCAGCCAGCTCCGGAGTGAGGCCAGAGCCCGGACGGAAGTAATCTCTCATCTAAGGAAACCCGCTCCTACTTCCTCGTTATCCTTCCGGTCCCCCCCGGCTAACTAACCAGCGCGGCCACCGAGGCGGGCGCTGCTCGCGTCTTACCCGCACCCAACGGCGGGCGCGCAGAGCTCGGGCCTGGCGCTCTGCGCGCCGCGCCTCTGCGCGGGCCCTGCGGGGTCAGAATGTGGGGTCCAAGGCAGCGAGCCCCTAGGTTCTGCCCTCCGCCCTCGTTTGTGCACAGGTCGGGGGCGGGGGTGCTGCAATCCCAGGGTGTTGGGGAGATTCACCCCGAACCGGGAATGATTGGGGCACACACGCTTCAGGCCAGGCCTTGAGGGAGCACTTGGATTGAAGCCCCAGCCTGAGGGTTAGACCAGAGGCCCCTGTCAGGCCCCAAATGACAAATGCCCCTCTGAGCCTTGGCTTGTCACCGCTGTTGCTGGGAGAAACTTGGTTATCTGAAGGAAGGGTCCCGCAGTGAGGTATCCAGGTGCTAGTGAGGTACCCAGGTGCTAGACTTTTCCTTAGTGACGAAAAAGGATTGCTTTACAATCTGGAAGAGAATACAGAACTAGGTTCTTCGAAGGATGAGGAGTGAAGTTGGGAATGGGGAGAGTCATACCTTCCTTTCTAAGTAGTTGTGGGGCTCTAATGAAAAGATGGTAAGGAACTGCGCTGCCAATCCAAAGGCACGTGGTTCTAATCCACTGGTTGCTGCACGGTGGGGAAAAGATGGACAGTCTCTTTCCGTACAATTTAGAGCCTCTGAAAACCTACTGGAGTGTCAACGGACCATAACAACAACAATTGGAAAATGAATCAGACCTATAACTAAGAAGAATATGGAAGAATGAGAAGTCTTGGGCCTCTTGTATATAGGATTAAATTTGAGGCCATTGCATCTGCTGGACCCTGGGCCTGGCTTACACACTGGACCAGCCCAAACCTCCCTCTAACCATCTTGTGAGATTAAATGTGGACTCCCATTTCCTCTGCACTGTTCCAGCTGGCCTGGACTCCACTCTGACCCACAGTGGCCGGGCATGTTTTAGTAGATCTGCACTCTGAAGGGTTCTCAGTCACTGGTTTTGAGGAACAGATTGCTAGACCTCTTCTGACCTCTTTTTCTTCTTGGTGGACACAGCCTTCCATCTGTGGGTTAGCAGCCAGTGCATTTACACAGTACATCCCTGGCCCTTGTCCTTCAGGGGAGGGATTAAAACCAAAGAGTTTGGTGCATCACAGAACCTCAAACTGAGTTCCTACACTTGCATAGTTCTGTGGGTAGGAGGAAATGGATTTAGGCTCACACTTTCCTAAATACCAAACTGGTTGGTTTAGTGTTTAAATGCTGAAAAGAGGGAGAAAGACTTGGGATGATGAGAAATGTAATTCAGAGGTGCGCATGGAGGCAAGCACCACACAGTGTGAGAAGGAATAGCTGAGTAAGGCTGTCCCTCCCAAGGCTCTGTGGCTGGGTTTCTAGAGAAGGTTGTTTGGGTAAAAGTCCCCACTGACAGTGGGAAGTTAGTGACAGCCCTTCTTTTGTTGGGCTTTTTACTAAACTCACCCCACACTTCTCTCTGAGAACTATGTGAGCAAACCTGAAGAAGACAAAAGTTTGCCTGGGGTGAGGAGTGTAAGGACTGGCCATTCTAAGAAGGCACACTTCAGGTCTCCAGCTCGCTTACCTTGCCTTCTTAGTCATTGCCAGTTCACTACTGCCTTACAGCAGGCAGGCAGGCAGATCTGAAACCACGTTAGCCCAGTGCTCATCCATGCACTCGCTGCCTTACATCAGAATCTGCTCATAGCTAATTCTCCGGCAGGTTTTCTAAGGCTGTAACTCGCCCATTTTCCTCCCTGTGCTGGTAGATTCAAACTGCCAGAGAGGCACTGCCTCTGGGATAGCAGTACAACTCTCTATGGGCTACTTACCATCAGAACCCCCTAGCCCAGTGCAGTTCTATATGCTTTCAAATCCAATAGCAGCTACATGGAAGAACAAAGGGCAACCTCCTCCCTTGCAATTTACAGGTACTTGCAAACCCACTTGAGGGTTAGCTGTGAGTCAGTTCTGACTTGACTGACAGTGACAATTGTGAATTGCGAGCCTGGCTGTGGTCTGGGACCCAAATTGTCCCTCTCACTTCCCTGATCAAGAGGAGGGTCAGGCTTCCACTGAGCTGAGCATAGACTTGGCTGTGTGGGACTGAGGAATACCGCAGACAGCTGCCTTTCCCTGTGGTCTTCACACAGAAAAGTGCTCTACTGAGAGAAGTCTTTCCCCACGCACAAGGGAGCCACTTTGGGGAAAGATTATTTCCCGAAGTCCTGACTCCTTTACTCTTGACATTGACCAATTTCACTCTCTTTTTCCTGTTGTTCTTCCCTTTTACAACACTTTTAATTTGTTTCTTTCATTTACAGGTAGACTTCATGTAACAGAAAACAAGTAAATGAAAATAAGACTATAAAGTAAGAAGGACTTCAGGTGCCTTCCTACACCACTAGTTCCCATGACCTAGTACAGTCAATGATTCTGGGTTAATCTTCCAGATATTTTCTGTACACATAAAAGCCTGTTTATATATTCTCATTTTAAAAACAGCACAGTCCACACCCATATTCATTGCAGCTATGTTCACAATAGCAAGGAGTTGGAAACAACCTAAGTGCCCATCAACAAACGAATGGCTAGAGAAGCTGTGGTATATTCGCACAATGGAATACTATGCTGCATTAAAAAACAAGGCACTCATGCAATATTATTCAAAATGGTTGACTCTGGAGAACATTATGCTGAGTGAAATATCCCAGTCACAAAAGGACAAATATTACATGATGCCACTGTTGTAGAATGGGACTGTCCTTGGGGTTGGGGAGAGACTGAGTAAGATGGGTTCAATAATGTATACTGCACTGAAACAGAGGAGGGAGAAAACTGTTTAAAAGAGATATATAACTAGGTATTTCTGTCATCACAGGAGACTAGAGCGAGTGCTACATGGTGGAGGGGACCTGGGGGAGGGTTTGTAAAACAATGAAAGAATCTTTTCTTTTACTTTTCCATAATTTCTGGATACATCTTCAAGGATATGAACATGTACGGCCAAGCACAATCAATAAGAGTGCATCTAAATCCCAAAATCAATCTCCATAATAGTCTATGTGTTTCCTACTGCCAAAGGGGCCCTTTAGAGTAGTGAGAGAAGATCTTCACCCTGATACCCACAGCGTCCCTTTTCAGCAGGAAGTAGCTAAGAGAATACGCCATCCCCTTTTCCTTATGACTCAGGGTGAAGTCTCTCTCAGGGAGGAGTGATAGGGAATGGCAAAGGACACACTGACAAAGAAGATTAATCAGAACTGGCTTTGACAAGCACTGTGGCATTTGGACAAGAACAAACTGGGAGGAGGGTAGAGAGAATAGTGCAACAATGAATGAATGGAAACCCAAAATCTCTGTAAATGTTTATGAAAATTAATAAAATATAATTATAGAAAAAAAATTTAAAAAAAGAATAATAAAAAAAGCACAGTCATACTATACAAACCTTTAAAAAATTATTTCAAAACTCATTGCTCTAGAGTTGGAACCAACTCATAGCTGACTCTCCAGTGGGTTTTCAGAAACTGTAAATCACATGGAGAATACCTGTCTGTCTCCTGTGAAGGACCAGGTGGATTTGAACCATGCACGTTGTGTTGGCAATGCACTGCTGTACCCACTAAGCCATCAGAGATCCCTCTTTCTGCACTCAACTCTTGTCAATGTATCAACAATATTATATCTATTTATTCCCACACATCTTTGCTTTGCCTACATAGTCTCACGCCATGATTATACAGTGATTTATTGTACCATTGCTGTTTGAAGTTATGCAACATCCAGATAGAACAGGCTCATAGCTGACTCTCCACAGGTTAATAAATTGCCTGGGAGGAGATTGCCCAGCTTTCTCTTACAGATCAACTGGTGGATTCAAACTGCATACCTTTGGTTTAACAGCGTAGCTCCTTCCCAGTAGATCATCAGAAAGCTCCCTATTGTACTATTGACAGTCCTTTCCAGGTTGTTGTTTGTTGTTTTTTTTTTCTTTTTTCTCTTGTTTTGTTTTTGTCTGAACTTTCTCAAACACACATATCTATGCAGTGTGCAAGTCTCTCTGTAAAGCAGTTGTGGTTATCTCTGATGGATGTTGACCCAGAAATGTCAGAGTAGAACTATGCCCCAGAGAGTTTTCAATGGCTGCTTTTTCTAGGAGTAGATTGCCAGGCTTTTCTTTCAAGGCATCTCTGAGTAGACTCTAGCTTTTTGCTCAACAGCTGAACACTATTGTTTGCACCACTTAAGGGCTTCATCAACCAGGGCATAAATTCCTGGAAGTGAAACTGCTTCAGCTTTGTATGTCTTTCAGTAGTCTGATTGCTTCTGTTTTGATAAGGAAACTGCCTGATCATGACCTCCACTTTATCTACCCTGGGGGCCTAGTGGCAAGAAGCTGCACTGCAATCCTGAAGGCACATGATTTGAGGTCACCAGCTGCACCATGGAAGACCGATGGGAAGTCTCCTCCTGTGCAATTAACTCCCTCTGAAAACCCACTGGTGGGTCAGCTATGGGTCGGTTCCAACTTGATGGTACACAACAACAACAACATACCCCATTTAAGTCTCCCGATGGTGCAAACAATTTAAACTTGGCCTAGTGGTGAGGAATTATGCTGCCAATTCAAAGTCACATGGTTCAAATCTTTCAGCTGCTCTGTGAGAGAAAAACAGGTAGTCTCCCTCCCCCACCCTGTGAGATTAACTGCCCCTGAAAACCCGCTGGAGGGTCAGCTATCCGTTGTTTCTCTCAATGGTACATACAACCAATAACAAAAACTAAGGTGTGTCTGATATGGGCCATGGTCTTTGTAATCACTTGTTATGTGCCAGAGAGTTGGACAATGACTAGGGAGGGTAGAAG